CACTTCGTTGTTAAGAAGGGGAGAGGAGGAGACTGGGAAGGAGACTGCCAGCGGCGCCATGCTAATTGCTGGGAGGAGGGCTGTGACCAGGACTCACCCTCCCTGTCCCCTAGGCCCCGCCTCCTCCCTGTGGTCTGCCACCTTCCCACCCACTGCATCCCTCACGCTCTCCAGGGACTTGTGTCAGCCTGTGCTATCCAGGATTCTGATCTCCTTACCACATCAGAATGGACCTCAGCTGTCTGTCAGGAGGACTCTGGTAGATGACAGGCTGACAATGCTAATAATCCACACAAGCTTCAGTGACTGGATTTATACTGAATATTCGAATCTCAGCAAACTGATGTGCACGGTGATTGCAACCCCCACCACTTCTGCGTGCCAGGGCCAAAGGGCTGTGTATTAGCAAAGAGTAGTCTGGAAGGAGCCTCTGGCCCAGTGGGTGAGACTAGAGGCAGCACTGCACCCAGAACCCCAGGGTTGCATTTTCCCACCGTCACTGACCGGCTGGGCCCCTGCTGTCACCTAGCAGAGGGGAGCAGGCTCCCCTCGCCTCTCATGGCATCACTGTAGGCATTGAAGGAGGACCCACAGCCTTGTGCTGAGGCCTGCGGCCGGCCAGCTGGTTCCTGAGCTCACAGCTTCACTCTCTGCACAGGGCGGCAGTGTCACCAGCCACGCCCTCACCTGTCCCTGATGCGGTAGTGCTCGTCCCTTTCTCCTCAGCTGTGGTGCCTGGTAACGGACCCTCGGCTCTTCATTAGAATCTAAATATGATCACATTTCTGTATTTATAAGTCAGAAAGTAATTTTGATATTTACTTATTTCTATAATCAAAAAAGAAACACATACCTAAGCCCGTAGGAAATGGGGCCAGGCCGTCTGGGCTGTCCTGGGAGAGGGCAGGAACTGCTGCCTCATGGGGGTGCCTCTGCTCCCCACCCCCCTGCACGCTGTCCCTCAGCACTGTGCATGTGGTGGCCAGAGCCTGTTGAAATGGCAACAGTAACACGACCAGGGCTACATCTTTTCTGTTAGAGACCAAGTGTAAAGCGCCAGGGCTGTGTTAATAGATCATAATCCAGAGGTGTAACCACATCGGATTCTAGGCATGAAGGTAAAGGACACCCTTCACAACTACATTTTTTGTTGTTCTTTAAGAAATCTTTTGGTTTTCTAATTGTAACTATCAAACATAAGTTGTTTCTAAAAATAGGACTCGAAACAAAATTCAAACCCACCACATTTCATAAATCCACATAGAAATCAAAACTACACATGTAACAGCAGTAAAAATGGGGACTGTCATTGGTGATGGAAACATCAGAAGGGCAGGTGAGCTTAGCCACCCACCAGACTGTGCTTACCTCTGGGTTGTCTCCTACCCGGGAGTGGCTGGACCGGGCTGTCTGTACGTCCCCTCACGTGAAAACTCGGAGTCACCCCACGGGGACTCCTCCATCAGTTTCCCGAGGTCTGTTGGGCAATTCTGCTAGCAGACAGATTGAAGTGGAAAGCTACCAGGAGAAAACAGCATGCTTTGGCCTCTCCTTAAACCCTAAGTAGTTACACTGTTTCATTTAGGACACAGACCTGCACTTCAAACTAATTTCCTGGTGAAATGTCTTCTTCATCCCAAAGGCTCTCTCCCTGTTGGGTAGAGCACTGGCCACGTGAAGAACTGATGCCATGACTCCTCAGGTCTCCGTAGTTGGGGTCCCCTCTGTGAGCTGTGGATCCACATGGTACATCCCTGACTGCCGGTTCCCCATGGCCCCGCTTCCCACGTGGCCGTCCCAGCCTCAGCAGACAGAGCTAGAAGGGTGGGCAGCCTGAGAACACGGACCAAGAGGGAGTTCTGAGAGCTGACGCCGAGTCAGTCTGCGTCTGGAGGAGGCTGGCACACAGCAGGTGTTAGAGCTGCTGTTGACAGGTTGACTGACTGCTCGACTTGTCCATGGTGAAGAGCTGACTGGATTCACATGTGTTTGAAATACTGAAGTCCAGTAACTTGCGAAACCCATGCACCTGCGAGGACCCTCGGGCCCTCGTGCCATCCCACCGGCCCTTCCCACGTTTCTTGCTGTCGGCAGCAGGCCTCAGACGAAACTTCCAGGTCCGCGACCCAGAGAGAGAGCCAGCCTCGTCAGTGGCTGTGCAGCCAGAGGCTGAGGCCTGTCCCCTGGCCTGTCTCAGGTCTCCCTGGCATCTGCACCGTGGGCAGTGCTGCCATGTGAGACACACCCCTTGTGCAGAGTGCTGCCGCCCTGCAGTCTGCATGCACGCTCATGTGAGTCCTGGGACAGTTCTCTTCTCCGCGGGCCAGGTCTAGGCCACCAGCCAGCCCGGGCCACATGACTCCCACTTCCGACTGCACTCTGGTGTGACCCAGTGCTGTGTGCACACAGCCTGCAGTCCTCCCGGGAGGCTCAAGCTGCAGGCCCCTCCTCGCCGCTTGCAGGTGGGGAGGAGACGCCTGCTCAGCTTGTTCCCAGCCCTTTGTCTGTGTGCGGCTGTGTGAAGACACGTGTCTGTGTTGGTTTCAGTGTCCTTGGGGGAAGGACTTATTTGGGGGGGGGTGAGTAGGTATCTGACCATCAACAGGGTGAGACGTGTCCCTCAGCCCTGTGACGAGAGGGTGTGGGCCGTCAGGAATCCCAGAGATGACTGCAGAACCATTTCCCACTGGTGACAGGTGGATGGGAGACACTCTGGGGTGGGAGGTGAGTTCACTCCAGTCACGCTTGTGATGAGAGTGGAAGGAAGGTCACGAGTCACGGTGTGGGTGCTGTGATGAGGAGGAGGACGTGGCACAGCACGCTGCTGTCTCACTGTTTCTGTGGATGTTCTTCTTTCTCAGTTCTTTAGGGTGATAAGCTGCATTTCCCGAGAGAACAGGGACAGAAAGAGCATGAGCATAATCTGTCTTACCTGCCGTGGTGTCTCCTGTGGCCCACGTTCGGGATACCACGTGCCTTCTCGTTCTCATCCCGTGGCTGGCTCTCCACAGAGAGGCGGCACCGGCCACAGCATCACAGTCACTGTGCGGAGGTCATGGGCTGTCCTGCTGCCACTCCTCTGCTCGCAGTGTGATGCGGATTGAAGTGCACACGTCGGGAGGAGAATGCAATGGGTGTGTTTTCAGAAGTTCACTGCAACACCCTGGCCGGTTTGGCTCAGCGGTTAGAGCATCGGCCTGCAGGCCAAAGGGTCATGGATTCTATTCCAGTCAAGGGCACGCCATACCTCTGTTGGGGTTCAGTCCCTGGCCCTGGTTAGGATCGTGCGTGCGGGAGGCAACCAATGATGTGTTTCTCTCACATCGTTGTTTTCTCTGTGTGTGCGTGTGTGTGTCCCTCCCTTCCATTCTCTCTAAAAATCAACAGAAAAATATCCTCGGGTGAGGATTAACAACAAATCACTAGAACAGGCTTCCTTTGAGCCCGAGAGCCTGAACCTTGGGCCGGTGGCGTGACGTGTGTGTGAGGTGGCCGCGTCTGTGTTGCTTCTGACTGTGTCCGTGGTCTGGCTTTCCCCTCCTGCTGCCCTTTGGGACTGCAGATGTCCTAGTTCTTAGGAAAATGATTGGTGGGAATTGTCAGAAGAGGGACCGTTTTTGTTTCAGACAATCAGTGATCCTCTATGACTAATATATAGCGAATGGATTTGCTGGTGTTCAGAAGAATGTGTTAGATGTTTGCAATGTGTGGTCAGTGTGTGGCTAGCAAAGATGTTTGCTATTATTGACATGTCCAAGCACAAATCTGTTCCACAAAGAAAGGTTTTCTGAGGGGACGGCACAAACCATAAAGAGCATCCCAGACACCCATCCCAGTGTAGTCAACAGGGTGTTCCTGCTAGTCCGTGCCCCTCATTGCTGAACTCTCAGTTCTTACCCTGATCTTCATCGTAGAAGCAAAGAACAGAGGTGACAGCAGCATGCAGGTAACCCTATCCAATCTGAGGGGTGGGAGGGACCAGCTGAAAATGCACTGGCTTACCTGTGTCTGCAGGGCACCTGGGGGCGGCTGTGCAGCGCGAAGAGAGGTGCACGTCCCGCACAGCCCTTTGTGTCAGACAGGACGGCAGGACGACTTCAGATGAACCCGGGGCTTATGTCATTTTTAACATGGTCCTTTTTAAAACAAAGTTCTTAAATACTTTTTTGAGACTAGATGTGGCACCTGTTCACGCATTACTTCTACCAGCTCACCAGAATTGCCCCAAGGCTGGGAGGTGGATGACTGTTCAGAGCTATGAGTCTGACTCGAGGCTGCGTGGTATGTGGTATGGGAGCGTCACGCCCTGAGCCCTGGTTCTCCTCGGCACTCGGCCACTGCAGACGCTCCCTCCCCATCTCACCGCCCTGAACTGCTCAGATAGGACTCAGCTCATCAGACCTGCTTTCCAACTCTCACCACGGTGCTCCCGTTGCTTCCCGGTGCATTCTGACCAGTTATCGCCCAGGTACCAGAGTCAGAATAATGCTTACTCAGCCCAAGCATGCTTCAGAGTCCGAGTGCACCGTGTAGGTGGCATCTCTGCTTGAGTCCCAGGAGCTGAGGCTGCATCTGGGCTGCCTGAATGCCACTGTGAGGGCAGACAGCGCAGCATCGCTGCGGACAGTGCTCGAGAGTGAGACAGTGACGTCCACGGGCTCTTCCAGAGTCTGGTCAGGGTGAGGGGCTGGGTGCATCTGGTCGGGCTGCAGGCAAAGCCAGTGAAGGGGAAGTCATTCTCAAAGTTTAGAGGTGATGAAAAATCAGCATTTTTAAATTATCTGTATCGTATACATGGGCTTATTTTCAGATTAATGAAGAAAGTGAATAGTTCTAGCATAGCCTGTTTCCTTGTGCCGACGGTCCGTGGGGCCAGGCCCGTGTGTGATGTGTGGGTTTTTACTCGCTGCCCATGCTGTTCAGTAAAACCTCAAGTGCTAGCCATTTTTTTCCTTTTCTTTTCTTTTTTGTCCCTTTTTTCTTTGTTTTTTTCTTTGCAGAAGACCATCAAATGAATTGTCACAATAGTCGAATAATGCAAGACACAGACAAGGATGATAATAACAATGATGAGTATGATAATTATGATGAGCTGGTGGCCAAATCCTTGCTCAATCTTGGCAAGATTGCCGAGGACGCGGCGTACCGGGCCCGGACAGAGTCGGAGATGAACAGCAACACCTCCAACAGTCTGGAGGACGACAGTGACCGGCACGAGAACCTGGGTCGGAAAGGCGAGCTGAGCCTCGACTTGGACAGTGATGTCGTTCGGGAAACCGTGGACTCCCTCAAACTGCTCGCGCAAGGACACGGCGTGGTGCTGGCCGAGAGCGTGAGTGACAGGGGCTGCGTGGACCCCCTGGCACCGCAGGACAGCCGGAGCATGAACTACGTGATGCTCGGGAAGCCCATGAACAACGGGCTCGTGGAGAAGCTGGTGGAGGAGAGCGATGAGGAGGTGTGTCTGAGCAGCTTGGAGTGCCTGCGGAACCAGTGCTTCGACCTGGCCAGGAAGCTGAGCGAGACGAGCCCGCAGGACCGGAATCCGCAGCAAAGCGTGGCTGTCCGCCAGCATGTCCGGCCAGAAGACGACGTCTCGGGAAGGACGCCGGACAGGAACTACTCCGACATGATGAACCTGATGCGGCTGGAGGAGCAGCTGAGCCCCAGGTCCAGAACTTTCCCCAGCTGCGCAAAGGAGGACGGGTATCACGAGAGAGACGACGATGCCACCTCCGTTAACTCGGACCGGTCTGAGGAAGTGTTTGATATGACCAAGGGGAACTTGACCCTCCTGGAGAAAGCCATTGCTTTGGAGACAGAGAGAGCAAAGGCCATGAGGGAGAAGATGGCCATGGATGCTGGCAGGCGGGACAGCACGAGGTCGTGCGAGGAGCCTCCAGGACAGCTGCCCGGGGAGGAGAGGAAGCCCAGACCCAGTGACAGCCATGCCAGAAAGCCATACTATGGTAAAGGTAATGTTCCTGCCTAACGTGAGTTGCCTCATGAGAGTCTGAGCCCAAGTAAGAGATATTGGTTGTGGTCACAATTAAAGTGGGACCACAGTAAATTATCTCTCATGCTATTTCTCAGGGTTGGTTCCAGAATTATGTTCTGTGATTACGTTTCTGAAGAGAAAATAAAATGTTTGAGAAATGCACCAAGCAGCTCGTCCTATTAGCAGAGCAGAGGAATGGCAGGACATTTCGGTGGGAAATGCATGTCTGGGAGAGACAGGTTAGCGCACACACATGCCCTGTGACAGAAACTATCAGGATGAGCCCGTGACCTTACGACCACCAGCCGTTGGCCCGTGGCCTGTGGTGCAGTCGTCAGTCAGGGCTGAAGCACGTATTCCCAAGTCGGGTCGGGCAGGTCCCATCATGGTTTATAAAGTCATCACCAGATGACAGTCATTGATAGAACCCCCATAGAAAACATCCCTGGAAGAAATCGAGCAGGAATAGGATGAGCAGTGACACAGGACGAGGGCAGTGACGCACATGGATTCTCTCAGATTCTCCGTGACAGTCGTGCACTGTGCCCGGTGTGGGGTGTCCCGGGCTGAGATCAGCAGTACTTCCTTCAGTGTGTTCATCACCACAGTGGACTGGTCCCTGTCCACTGTGGAGACAGTTATGCCCTCTTTATTATGAAGCCCTCAGAACCACCCAGTATGGCGGTCGGATGGGTTTCTGTTACGGGACGTGAGCGCACGTCAGCATGCGCCTCCCTCTGTAACGGGCTGGTCGCTGTGTGTACGGAGCCTGTTCCAGCCTGAGCGGCCGACTGCACGGCCGCAGGACAGTGTGTCCATTCGCATCAGGAGGCAGGACCATTCACCCTCATGCAGGACTTGGCACTGTGGCCTTTTCAGTCACAGACTCTTTTAGGACTAAGTAAGAAGCAAACTCAAGAATAAAATCGGTGATTCCTTAAATCCTTCCATGTGAGTGCCAAAAAAACCCTCTTGTTTTGTGTTTTAGTCAATTCCTTACAAATACCGAGGTCCTCACTGTGGATCCTGTGATGAGGTTCAGGAATTTGGTTTCAAAATCAGTTGCTATATAAACTTCAAATGATCAGAAAAACTCTCATTTCTGCTGTGACATGGGTGTGTATTCTCCTCTCAATGTGTGCAGACAACCCCACGGCACACTGGGCCTACGGCCAAATCCCAGGTGGACGGTGGACGGGGACCCGAGCCAGAGGCCCGTCAGGCTCTTGATTTGGCTCGAGCACTGACGCCGCCGACTCAGTCACGAGGCGGAGGCAGAGCTGGTGAGGTGCGGCAGACCAGGAGGCTTGCGTAAGGTCGTGGAGTCCAGCTTAGCTTTGGGTATTGGACAGAGCACGAGACACATGCATGTACTGGAGTCGTGACTTTGGTGGAATCTGTTCGAAATTATTAGTTGGCTATTTGAAAATCATACCTCAGCATTTTTAGGAAGAAAAAGTGTCCTTCATCATGGGCTTGCTCAGCTGGACACACACGCTAGGCTCTGCGTTGGACGTCTGTAGAGGGTGTCACAGTGGACTCTGCCCTGAGAGTGCAGCACTGTGCCAGGGAACGAGGGCGCGCTGGGCATCACTTCTCTGGTGTCTGGGTGCCTTTTAGCCCAGAGCTTTCTGTAAATGCTGACTCATTTTCTTGTTGTTGTTTATTGTTTTATTTTAGTGGTTTGTAAGAAATGGAATTCAAATCGCTTGTTTCTCCTAAATAAATGGGGATGGGGTGGGAATGAACAGTAGAAACTAAGGTGTGCTTTTCCCTGAGCTGGAGAGGGTTGGGGAGGTGGACTCTCCAATGAGCAGAAAGCGTGGCGCCCTGCTCTGCCCTGCAGCTCTGCTCTGAGAGGTCTCGCTCTGTCTCAGCAGCACGTCCACATCACCCGTTTCCTCTGAAGATCCCTGTAGTTATGTCAAAACAAATAGATGTGGCCGAGCAAAGACACCGAAGTGGGTGAGGAGGTTAACGCCATGTATTTAAAACGTGCTGTCTTCCCAGCATGGCCCGCTGCCCCACCGTCACGTAGCATAGCAACAGTCTCTGTGTTCAGCTCCTCTGTTATTTTATTAAAGACGAAGAGAACACTCAAGCCAATTTTCATTTATACTAATCTTCTCAAAATGATTTAAATGATAAACAAGTGACCCTTCCAGAATCCTGAGCTCAAACAAAGAAGTTCATCATGAAACTCCTCTGTCTTCTTCTTAAGCATCCACTGGACAGGGGTGCGGAGCAAGCTGAACCCAGCACACAGTCTTTCCTACGTACTGTGGCGAGGTTTGCGGTTGAACTGTTAGTCTGCTTGCTTGTTTGGTTGCTTTGTGTTTGCTCCAATGTTTGCCTTCAAGACAAGTTGGGGTTGCAAGAGAGAAGCAAGGGAGGTGACATGAGGGCAGCGGCAGCCACCCCGCCAGGCTCGCGCCTCGAGAGGAGAGCGTCCCTGCTGTCTTCCCCACTGAGGCGGTTGGGCCGTGCTCCGTCCACACAGATCTCTCTGGCCTTGACTCCAGAGCACTTTCGGAGTCTGTGACTAGTTCCTCAGGAGATGTTATGTCCTGTTGAAAAAGAGACACACTTAGTGATTGATGATCATTATGATTATATTTTGTCCTTTAAAAGGGATTTATCTCTGGTTTATGACCCTAATATGTTCTTAGGACACTGTCACTGTGTCCTTTGCATTTACATTAACTCAGTCACACCGGTGTTGCTGTGACATTACTTGCAAGGTGATGAAGTGCTAGGCCTCGGGTTTGCATGTGTCGGAGATGTGCCAGGACGAGGGCAGAAGTTGAAGTCACGGCAGCGTGCGCTTAGATTCTCTCCAGGGCTCACGGTCTACGCGAGTGGCGAGAAGCAGCAGACAGTGTGGCCAGGACATTCCCCAGCACCCGTGCTGGCTTAAGGAGCCTGAGAGACCGGTCACATCAACCAGCATGCCAGCTGCAAGTACAGGGGCTCTTTAATGGGAACTAGAAGCATCTAGTTATTCCTTCAAGTCCTCTATCCATGTCTGTGTACGTGAATGGCTGAAGAAAAAGTTCATGAGACTTTAAAAAATGTTAAACCAGACTTTTTCCTTTATAGAAAACTAATTCTTAACCAGAAGTACAACATGTATTTTCTAACAGTTGTGATTGGCTTGATGCATAAAATATTAATGTAAAAGCACTAACCCCCTAAAGAAATTTCACCCCAACACTCCCCGGACCAAGCTGTACCAGTCACTGTCTGTGCGTAGTCTGTGCAGCTGGTTCTCAAGCTGCTCAGAACAAGCTTCTGTGCGCCAGGGCCTGCTGGGCTGCGCCTTCTCTCAGAACTCTCTTGGGGGCCGTGCTCGGCTTCGTCTGGGTGCGCAGTCATTTCCCAGCAGCCTCGTGCCTGGCTGCCTCGGTTCCCGCGCACGCAGGGAAATGCCCAGCGGCTGCTCTGGCAGCTTCTGGAGCCCTTGGGGTCGCATCCCCGTCAGGTGGTGCACCCCTCGGGCACTGCTTCCAGTGCCCTCTGAGAGTCCAGCTCATTCTCAGAGCCTCCGAATCGACCTGCTTCCAGAGGGAGTCGCACGGAATCCATTCGCACCAGCAGGTCTGCCCCTTGTGGCGTCTGCGGTCAGAGCTCCCTAAGAAGGAGCTGCGGAGAGGGAGCGGCACAGAGCCGCGGTGGCACCTCAGAGCAGCTGCGGGAGGACCACACTGGTTTCGTTCTCTGAGAAAGAAGGTCACTGTCTCGTCACTGTTTACATCGGTTTCTTTGAGCTTATCATGTAACACACGGGAAACAGTCCATCAAGAGCTCAGGTAGGGATAGTCTTCTGTTTTCTTTAGCACAGAAAGTAGAATATTTTATGTTTCATGATTACACTGTTGAAGGTCAAAGATCACCCAAAACCAAAGGCCTACGCAAAAGCCTGATGTCAAAGCCGTCTCCCTGACACCTGCTCTAGTTTCTTTCATCAAGGTCTCTTCAGAGTGTGAAATGATCACATTTGTCTTCAGTGGGTAAAAAAGTCATTCTCTTGACACCTGTTGTCACTTTTAGATCCCTCGAGAGCAGAGAAGAAAGAGAGCAAGTGCCCCACCCCAGGGTGCGACGGGACCGGCCACGTGACTGGGCTGTACCCGCACCACCGCAGCCTGTCTGGATGCCCGCACAAAGATAGGGTCCCTCCAGAAAGTAAGTCACCTCACCCGCCTCCGCACCCTTGACGGTTGTTTCTGTCGTCTCTGTCATCCCCATCTGTCCTGACAGGCAGCCACCCAGCACCCCTAAACCCGGGAGCCAGTGGGCTAGAGCTCGCCCTCCAGTGGGCAGTGTGTCCTCGGTGTCCTTCCTGTGGGAGTGGCCCGGGGATGGAGCGCAGCCCAGCCGTTGCTCTGCCCAGTGGCAGACCTGGCCTGCAGGCCTTAGCTCACTCTGGCCTGGGCAGCTCGTGCTCCCTCGTCTCCGCGCCAGCTGTAGGGCTGAGTGCAGACAGCCCGCATCCCTTCCGCGCGCAGCTGCTGTGACCCTCGGGAAACACACGGGCCCTTGGCCGCTGTCTGGACCTGTGCGCAGATGTGAACCAGTCATTATACGAACATTTTATTGCTTTTTACTTGAAACATCTGTTTCATGTCATAGTTGTCCCAACATTTCTACACAATAAAATGTCAAATGAGGAGGTTTATGGAGGGTGGGTTTTGATCCCACACATTTGTGTTAGGTTCTGAGAATATGCAATGCATTTCTAACGCAGCTGGGTTCTCTCTAGAGCTGGGCTCATGTTTACCTTTTCTAATCTGTCCTGCCGCCCAGGAAGTATGTCAGGTGTTTTAAAAACAGGGAGAAATGATTGTGCAGGAAAATGGCCCATTTTCAGAGATGACTGTGAGTCTGCAAACCTGCAGGTGAGTGTAAGGACTGTCCTCCTTGTCTGAGGCTGGCTTCCAGTGAGGACAGTGGAGTCACTTGGCTGCAGATAGGATGAGATGGGCAGTGGACTGTTTACAGGAACTTTCGAGGATCATCCCGTTAAAATGGGACTTTGGGAGGCAGATTTGCCAGAACCCAGAGGCGCTCCCGATAGGTAAGGCTCAGAACAGGCCCAGCAGAGGGTGCTCAGGGAAGTCCTTTTAGAAGCTGTTGTGGCTGCAGCTTCTCAGGTGGCTGCTGAAAGTCAGAACCGTTTCCTGTCCGTGGCATGGAGCAGCGGGAGCAGTTGTGGGAGTAGCGCTCTGCCCGTGTGTCTCGTGAGTGGGGAGACAGCAGGTGTGGCTGCAGCTGCTTCCCCCACGCTCTCAGGCCCCTGCTGACATGAGCCTGCGGCAGATGAGGGAAACAGGTATAGACCCATCGCCTTCTCTCCAGGGTCCGCACAGGGCCTGGCAAGGTGACGACACTCAGTGCTTTTCAGACCAACGTGAGCAGGGACGAGCTTGCCTGGGTGGACACCTCAGCCAGACTGCCTGTCTCTGCTGAGACCTGGGTGTGACCTTGGGCAGGGCGCCCACTCTCTGCACCTGGCTTTCCTCATCTGCAAAGTGAGCCATTGGGACCCAGTACTAACATCTTAAGAGAAAAAGCTTCGTTATGCCGTGTTTCTTTAAGGCGTACGCTTTCACCTTCAAAGTAGGTCAGTTTCTTCTCCTGGCTGACAAACCGTCCTGAACATTTTCACGAGAGCAGCCTGAATCAGTGGAGCAGAGGTAGGGACCGTGTTCTGAGGGCCACATGTGGAATGTGTTCCTACAGTCCACACCCGTCCCCCTCTGGGGAAGAGTGGGCTCAGCTCTGACACTGACCCCCAGGCGCCTCCAGATCCTTGGGCATCACAAACACGTAAACAGCAGCTCTCCAGTTGAATTCCCTGAAGTCATCTGCAGCCCCAGTTCACAGCACACTGTAGAAACAGAGGCTGCCCCACTGAATGAGACCCACGCTTTGGTCCCCCACAAGCCCCACCTGGCTGAGACAGAGTGGGGCCTCCGCCGGGCAGAGGCTCAGCACATGCTGCAGATGCCCCAAGCCAGGCTGATGGCCACCCCAGAGACCTCGGGCCACACTGACATCACATTGCAGCCTGTCTTGCGTGAGAGAGAAGGAGCCACGGCGTCTTCTGAAAGCTACTGTAATGGTCCGTGCAAGAGGCCTGGCCTGAAGGCGGCAGGTTCAGGAAGCATGCCCGAGACAGGCTGGAGGGCTGGAGGGCCTCGTCGGGGAGGGAGACATGGCCGAGATGGAAGAGGACTGGAGGCTCAGCGATGGGAGGTGCAGGGAGCTGAGAAATAGAGAGATCGCTGCCTGGATTTGTCCCCCAGAATTGGAAGTGCTGTAGGACATGCCCCACAGGCTGTGGAGGAATGTCTGGAGACCGGGAGAAGGGCAGGTGCCCTCGGGTCTGTCCTCTGAGCGGTGTCAGTAGACACGGGTGAAGTTGCCTGGACAGGAGCCACAGATGGGAGCTTAGGATGTGAAAGTCCAGGAGGCAGAGCAGAGGAAGAGCACTGGGTCCAGAGAAGTCAGAGAAACAGAGCCGGAGAGGACAGCATCTATGACAAGGCGCAGGCGTGAAGGGTTCCCCAGAGAAGGCCGGCAGAAGGCGAGGACGTGGTGAAGAGCAGGAGGAAGACGGCCTGGGAGCCAGAGGCACATGAGCCCGTCCCCCGCTGGGGCCTGTGTGTCCACTCAGCAGGCAGCCTGAAGGCTGCGCCACAGACACATGAAAGGTGCCTGCTGTCTCCAGGGAAGACTTCATATTGGAGAAGTTCAGCATGAAAGGGAACATGTGTGTTAATCTGGGAAAGAAGCAGTGTCATGGGAAGGGCTGTGTGAGTTATGACAGAGCTGTGGAAAAGGTGGGGCCTGGCCAGTGTGGCTCAGTGGGCGGAATGTCGTCCAGGGGCGGAGAGGTCCCGGTTCGATTCCCGGTCAGGGCACATGCCTGGGTTGCCAGCTGGACCCCCAGTGGGGGGCGTGCAGGAGGCAGCTGATAGATGTTTTTCTCTCTCACATCGATGTTTCTGCCTCTCTCCATTCCTCTCTCACTAAAAAATCAACAAAAACATATTTTTACAAAGTAGGAGAATAAAGAATGAAGGCTGTGGGTGGAGCAGGGCCCAGAGGCAGGAAGAGGACAAGGGGTGCAGACCAAGAGCACACTTGGGAAGGGAGGCCGCTGCCGCCTCTGAGCCAGGGCAGAGACCAGGCGGTGGGGCCAAGGTCCCCCCAGGAAGAAGATGGCCTGGAGCCCCCCACAGCCAGGCCCCGACAGAGCAAGCCCACACAGGCCCACTGTCACCAGCCGCTCCTGACTCCACGGTGAGAACTGCGGCGGTGAAAACCAGTGGGTGGCGCTGTCCTGGGTGGGGAGACGAGCTAGGCCTCGGCTGTCAGCGCCTTGCTCAGTGAAATGACTCACACACCGTGCGCGCCCGGGTGAAGGGCCTGCTCTGCATACGGCTGTAGGAAGTTCAGTTATGTGACCGTCTGGGCAGACTATTTTTAGTGGCTTCCACGGCCACCTGCACCAGGTAACCCTCACTCACAGGGAAGCTCCGGCAGGTTCCAGCCACTGTGTTCTCCGGGAAGTTATAGCCAGTTGATCCGGGCTGCGTGTAGGGCCACGTGTCCTGGCTGTCCCCTCACTTCTCATGCGCACCTGCCTTCCCAGCAGCCTGGAGCCTGCCTGCGCCTGAGGGGTGAGGCCGTGTTCCTGACAGCCACTAGCGGCTTCTGGCCCCACGGTGACCTGGTGCATGTCCTGCTCACTGGCCTCACCGGCTCGGGCACAGCAGTCGCTATGCCAGCTCACTGCATCTGAAGAATGATCAAGTACTTAGCTCCTGGATGGAAAATCATTTCCTAATTCATTTTATTTAAAAACACATTGTGGGGTTCTCTTCCCCCATGGCTACCATGCCTTCGTAATACCGTGCGTTTCTGACACATAGGCGGTTGACATTGTCCAATCTGCATGCTCTCCAGGGCAAGCAGAGTCAGTCAGTGTGGAGACAGATGGGCCGCCCCAGAACGATCTCGTCCTCACGTCCCGACCTCCAGCCCACACAGTGCACCCTCTTTGCATGCCAGACCGAGGCAGCCTCCCTCTTCCTACATGTGCTGTCCTGACCATGCCCATCATGGATGTCTGTGGGGCTGTGCTGTGCACGCCCCCTTTGTTACAGTGACTGCGTCCTCTGTACCTGGGCCATTTCAGTGTTTTAATGCCACGCTGTTTTCTCTGCCTCTCCTTGTCAAGTTCTTGCCATGCATGAGAATGTTCTCAAGTGTCCTACTCCGGGCTGCACAGGGCGAGGGCATGTAAATAGCAACAGGAACTCTCACCGCAGGTAAGCACAGCGCACCGGTCCTGCCCACAGGTGGGCCCCTGGGAGGGCACGGTCTCCTTCGCGCCCCCAACGCCCTGCTCCAGAGCAGGGAGCCTGCATCCCCAGGCATGGTGGGTCGGCTGCTCGGCCGTTCATGTGTCGGCCGCCGTGTCGTGACGGGATGACAGCCCTCACTGGGAGGTGTCATCCTGGTAGAACATCTAAGATGGAACCATGACCACTTGCAGCAAGTGGAAGGAACACAGGGAAGCTCCCTTGCCCTCCAGGTCAGCAGGGGCCACGGCACATGGCACACAGGGTGGGCCGTGGGACACGGGGAGACTGCACAGTGTGTGATGGGGCTGGGCTGCCCCTGCTCTGCTGAAACCCTGTCATCGCTGTGGACACCAGCAGTGCGAGCAGATGTCAGGGGAGCTGTGGGTGACCGTGTGCCCGGTGTATAGAATTTCCCTGGCTGCTGTTCCGATGGGCTCGGAATCGTACCTTTCCTCTGACAGATTCCAGTTCTCTCTTCCCCTTATTCTCCCCTTGCTAAGTTGCATTCAGTTCAATCAGACACTTCTTGCAGTAGCCAAAAGTGGCTCTGCTACAGTGTGTCCGACAGCCTACATTTCAGCTCCACACACTCATGGGAGCTCACATGAGGCTGTGTCCGAGTGGGAGGACTGCTGCGAGTGTCCCTTTAACACCTGTTTCCTGACTGAAACATTGGGTGGCATGTGTTAAATTGATGAGCCAAATTACAACCCTGCCACCCCCAGCCCTTCTGAGTTTCCTGGGCTTGTGCTGCAGCAGAAAGCAGTGCTGGGTGGCCAGGGTCGTGCTGAGCTGCTGAGCACGACTCGACGCCACGCTGTAGTACCAGGTCCTTTGTCAAACCCTCGCTGACCCACGCGCCCACAGAGTGAGATCCACGCGTGGCTGTACTTCGTGGGCGTGAGCAGAGTCCCACACACAGCAGGCACCATGGTTTCATGAGGGACGGGCTCGAACAGGAGAGCCAGTCTGGCTTTGCCCCTCAGCATCCAGTTCCAAAACAGTTTTCAGCAGCCCGCGCGTTGTCCTGCTTCCTCTCCGTCTCTCCAGGGGAGGGCCAGCCCTCGCTGTGGCAGCGGTGCTCACGGGACTGCCAGACCTCCGCTCCTGGTGGCAGCCGTGGCCCTGCCCTGCTCGGACCTCTCAGACACAGCCTGCCCGGCGGTTACCCCCAGAGCTTGCAGACACCCCAGAGGGGAGCCTGCCCGGCGGTTACCCCCCAGAGCTCGCAGACACCCCAGAGGGGAGCCTGCCCGGCGGTTACCCCCCAGAGCTCGCAGACACCCCAGAGGGGAGCCTGCCCGGCGGTTACCCCCCCGAGCTCGCAGACACCCCAGAGGGGAGCCTGTGTCGAAAACCGTGACTGGATCATGGTCGGGGCTGTCCCAGGATTTGGCTCAGTGTCACTGGGAAGGGAGAGTGCACATTGCACTCAGGGCCGGTTAGCGGCACTGTCTGCCGCAGATGAGGGAACACACCATTCACACCCCTGACGTCAGGGAAGCCCACGCAGTTTGGGAGGTCACCCCCACCCCTGCTTGGGTGTCATGGTGCTGACGGGGGGTGGCTGGTTGCTGTGTGTGGAGCTGTCTGGGGGACAACTGACCCTTTCTGTGCTTGCAGCCTCTCGGGATGCCCCATCGCTGCAGCGGAGAAGCTGGCCAAGGCCCAAGAGAAACACCAGAGCTGCGACGTGTCCAAGTCCAGCCAGGCCTCAGACCGCGTGCTAAGGTACCCAGCTCAGAGTGTCCCATTTCGTGAGCTCCGTCTGCAGGCAGCCCCCACCCAGGCTCAGGACGTGCAGGAGGCGATGGTCATACCCAGGGCAGGAGTGAAGTGAAGGAGCGCTGTGCTGGGAGTGAGACCCAGGCCACCCTCACCCCACACGGGCCCTGTGAGGGCGGGAGGTGACTTCGCCTCCCTGGGTCTCAGTGACTGATTGTAAGTTTTTAAATGAGGAAAGTGGATGGACTGCTTCTGACAGTGCATGACTGTGGAGGCTAGACAGTAGAGAAGCTTTACCAAGGGGTGAGATGCCCAGAGGCAGTTCATCTCCAGTTGGTTGAGAAGCCACAGCCCCAGCCTGCAGGGCGGTGGTCGCGTTTCTGATGCGTGATCATGGAGGCTTCTGTGTGGGGCCTCGGAGCTGCTTCTCCTGTCCTCAGACTGACCTGCCCCTGAAACCTCATCACCAGGTGATAAACCAGGAAAGACCTCAGACAGCATCAGGTTCAACCCACTGTTTTCTAAGTTTAGAAAAGAGGACGGGGAGGAAGAAACCCACACTGTCCTAACCTACAGTCAGCTCTCACTCTGGCCCGTGAGCACTGTGCTGACCATTGTGCGGTCTGCCCCCTTCGTGCCCAGCATGCCCGAGGCGGGAATGCCAACAGGTTTAGGGCCAACGTGTGTTGGTGAGGAGGCCAGAGTGAGGCTGTAGCTCTGAGCCAGTTAGGGGCCCTGCTCTTAATGTTAAAGAGAGAAACAAGCCCCCCACGCACGCACGCACACACACGCACACACACACACGCACACACACACACACACGCACACACACACGCACACACACGCATGCACACGCGCGCGCACACGCACGCGCACACACGCATGCACACACGCACACGCACGCACACATACGCACACACGCACGCATGCACACGCACGCACGCACACGCACGCACGCACACATACGCACACACGCACACATGCACACACACACGCATGCACACACACGCACGCACGCACACGCACACACACGCACAGTCTCACCCCTGCCGACTGTTCTTCGGGACACATCCCTGGGACAGCCGCAGGCAAGGACACGACCCCCCTTGTGGTTCTGCTGTGGCTTGTGCACAGCTCGCCGAGCAGATCCCACCAGAGCCCTTCCACTCCTCTGTCCCTCGACAGAAAAGAAAATCTCTGCAGAAAGTGAGAGATATTTAAACAGAAAACGACAAGAAAAGCCATCTGTGACCCTAGCATTCAGAGATATTCCTCAGTCAGGCTTGGTGTGCATTCTTCTAGATGGCTCTGTGTGGGGGTGCTACCCGTCGAACCTGTCACTGTCATCTCACAGAAAGTAAGACTGACAAGTAAGTGATGAGACCTCCCTGAGAGCCCGACCCCAGCTCACTGTTAGTTGTGGCAGCATGAGACCCCCTGAAACCCTGGGGCTGTGCATCTGAGACGAGACGCTGTTAACCGAGGGAGACTGAGGAGAAGCAGAAGGAGATTGAGGTGAGGGCTTCCCTGAAACCCCTTCGCCTGCTTGGCCAGCCTCCAGAGAGCTGGGAGCACCCCATTCCACCCCTTCCTGGAAGCCCACCCGGCAGCCAGTCCCTCCTGTCAGCACCAACCTCGTCCTAGCACAAAGCTCCGGTGGCAGCTTGAGACAGACAAGAGCCTCCATGGTGGCACACGTCGCCACACCCAGACCCACGAGCCCGAGACAACAGCATTCACACTGTTTCCGTGGTGTCTTAGCTGCCGTCCCCACTTTGGGCAGACACAGTGGAGAAGCACATTAAATGACAAAAAGCAAGACCGGAGGCAACAATTGTGCATCTGACAGGCAGTGTCCTCAGGCCGTGGGTGTGGGAAGGTCAGGTGCAACACAGGAGGGCCCAGGGCAGCCAGGCTGGGGGCCTGGCTCTCGGAGGACAGCTGGCACCAGGCTGGTGCGCGGGCTCATCTCCAGCCCCCCGCCCCTCCCCATGCTCACCCCAGGCACTGGAGTCGCAGCTGTGAACAAGGCTGGGACCTGGGCCGCCGTCCTTCTGTCTGTCTCCACGCAGGGTGTTCACTCGATGGAGGAAGGACAGAGACAGGAAGGAGGGAAAAAGAACTTGAACCTACAATCATTTCACTGTTTACGATTTTTATAAGTCTTTAAGTAAATACTCCAACAGGAATTTAAGACTGGAGCAAGTTTGTCCACCCTGTCCAAATTTTTTAGCTTCTCCGCAACACCCTGGCTCAGCCCGCCCTGCCTCCATTCTGCCTCCGAGGAGGCCTCCTTGCCGAGGCCTGTGCCCGGTAGGCCTAGGGTCACGCCCTCCCCAGCCCACCCTCTGGCATTGCTCACTAGAGGGACGGACTGACTCCCAGTCTGGCCCCCAGCACAGTCCCCTATGACTCCCCAAAGACATTCCTCATCTTCCAGCTCCGTTGTTCCTTTTTCTGCAATGCTTTTGCCACCCAGGTCTCGCCCTTGGTGATTCTGTACAGCAAGCTCTAACTTCTCCATCGGAGTGGAGCTGAATCTTGCAGCTGGGTGTGGCCTCTTGCTCAGACCCCAACAGCACCTGGGCTCCTGAGGTGGTGTCACACACGCACACTCACAAATGAGACCATGGCCCATGAGGGCTTGAGACAAAGCCGGGCTATCCATCTGCACGGCCATGCTGCTCAGATAGCACAAGGGCACCTGGGCGCCACTGTTCTGCGGACCTGACAAGGAAAGGAGCTGAGTTCACAAAGTCTGAGGAAGTGCCTGGGTGTCTTGGTGAATAAAAGTGACGTGAGGTGAACTTGAGTGAAGGGTACTCTCTGTAAGTGATACACTATTTCCAAAAAGAGCTTAAAATCCACCTATGAGATAGATAGATAGTTGCACGCACACACACACACAGAAAACCAAGTGGGGTCTTAAATAATGATAATTAGAAAAATGAGTGACTCCTAGTAAAAGTATTGAAAGTGTGTGCTAATATTTATCAAAATATATTGCTGCATGTGTTGTTTACTGTCCAGATGTGTAAACTTATGTCTAGGTTTGCTTCAGCCCACATCCCTATTGAGTATTTCTTCCTTTCCTCTCGTGTTCAGAGGAAGTCATCTTCTTAGCTCCCTTCAGTTGAGTGTGGTCCTCGCTCTGTGCAGGAGAGAATGCGTGGACTTGGATTCTTGTGTCCTCACACCTGTCTCTTCACCAAACCCACCAGGACCCCAAAGAGAAAGAAAGGGGGAGGGGGTACATAGTTTAGTTTTGTTCTTTTTTTCCCCAAATATGAGCCGTTTATTAGCCGGTCGGAGTCTGATTCTGAACACCCCTGTGACAGGGTCTTCGGAATCAGCCTAGCTTCGTTCTTTTTATGCTACGTTGGCCGCCGGCAGCCAGCTGAGGAGGTGCTGTGTTACCTTGGTGCCTCGGTCTGTTCTCGGGGAGCAGGACAGTGGTCAGCGCAGGTTGTGAGTCCTGGCAGCTGAGAAGCATGCTGTCGTTCCCGAGCCCAGCCTCTCCCGGCCACGAGGAAGCCAGCTGTCCATTGTTTCTTGTTTGCTTACAGGCCAATGTGCTTTGTAAAGCAGCTCGAGATCCCTCACTACGGCTACAGAAACAACGTCCCCACGACCACGCCGCGCTCCAACCTGGCCAAGGAGCTGGAGAAATATTCCAAGACTTCGTTTGAATACAACAGTTACGACAGCCATACTTACGGCAAGCGGGCCATAGCTCCCAAGGTGCAAACCAGGGACATATCCCCCAAAGGATATGATGGTAGGAGGTGCACACTCTTATACATGAGAGTCACGCTTGCCGTTAATAATGTTGTTGTTGTGTATATCCATTTCCGACAAACCGGTCGAGCATGTGGTCACTGCTGGGCACCAGAGAACAGCACACCAGCGCGTGGGCTCCCTTGCTTAAGGCCCGTGGTCCATGGGGTGGGGAAGAGGGACCTGCGGAGTGTGGACTGAGAGCCTGGTGCACCCGCTCCAGGCTGTCGCTAGGACTGTGTCCTCCCCTTTATCGATGTCCCTTCATAGCTGCCCAGCATAGGTGAGCCTGGACACTCAGCAGCAGCCGCCCAAGTCTCTGGCTGTTTGGAAAAGGTCTGCGTCCCTCCCACCCCCCACCCCTGCGTGCACACTAGAGGTGTCTGGGGGAGATCTAAAATTCTAATGCTCAGGCTGCACCCCACACCTGTCAAACCAGAACCCCAGGCGTTCCCTGTGTGGTGGCATGTTTAGGTCCCTGTGCTTCTGAGCAGCTGAGGGTGGACGACTGCTGCTGGTGTTGCCCGGCCCCTCCACAGGCACAGGTCCTGGGCTGTGCTCCCCCGGGAGCGGGCCCTGGGTGTGCCCCGCTGTGACATGACTGTCACTGGCATGACCACGTCGTCCACTAGTATACTAAGGCTGACAAAACACACTGCCTGCTTCCCAGGGACAGGACGGTGGCGTCCACCCACGGTGTTCAAGCCACTGCGGGTGTGACGAGGTCGCATTCCATCGTGGCCAGCAGTGGAACAGTCGAGGGGAGACCAAGTTTCTTTGATTGTGTTGACTCGTCTAACCACGGTTCTGCTTTAAATCCCAGGGCATGTGGACTTAGTTGGCAGGTTTTATGGATTGAGGTGTGGGTTGCATAACCTTTGATGATTTAAAAGGCTTAGCTTGGTGTTCTGTAGCAGAGTCAAGGAGAGGGGTTTTTAAACATGTCCGAGCTCCTCTCTGAAAAGATATTTAATTAGAATCACAGCACACAGAAAACTCATTTAAATTGAGTGGTTGGTGAGCTCTGAACCTTTATAATTCAAGACAAGCAGCTTGCACCTTTCTCTAAGTTACGTGAATCATTCTTGGCCTTAGTAACAATTAGTTTGGGTAGTGAATAGAATGTAATGTTTCTTTGATATATCAAAATATTGATTATCCTTGCGTATATCAATTCTTAATATGTAGGAGCAAGATATAAATGGGAAAAGGAAGTGGCTTATAGCATAACAAAAAATAATCATTTTTGTTGTGTTTATTTTGTAATGATAATTTGCCAGTTTCAGGTTTTGTTATAATTTTACTCATTTGATTGCAAATGAAGGGTCAGAGGAGACTGCACTCACATAGTGAGGCTCTGTGGTGGCACCAGCTGTGCAGTGTCCGCTGAGCACGGCGCCCGCTGTTCGTCCTTGCGCGTTTCTGCTGCTGCTCCGCGTGGCCTGACTCCTCCCCTCGCTGTCGGGCGGGGCTGCGAGAGGCCGTGCCGAGTGGACCAGACCTCGAGTCTCCTTGGGTGTGCTCTCCGCCCTTGCCCTGGCTCTCCGTGTGGGGCGCGTTGGTCTCCCTGGTGTCAGTTCCCAGCGTGGAGTGGAGGTGACGGCATCTGCCCTGCTGGGAAGGCTAGTGCACAAACCCATGTTAGTGGTTGGCATTCATCCTCACCTGCCCAGAAAAGTCCCTGTTGTCAGAAGCTTGGGCAGAGCCATGCCCTTCAGCTGACCCACAAGAAAACAAGAACAGAACAAAAACTTCAATATTAGGTCCTTAAGAAACTAAGAGAAAAGAAAAGGCACCCTTTCAGCACTAAATGTTTACCAAAAAGAGCATCGATGACCCCATTTGTCTTCCACTACTCCCCTGACAGGTTGCTAATGCATCGAGGAAGGAGCCCTCGAAGGAAGGGGTGGATTGGGCTGGCTCCGACGGGTGGGCTCAGAGCCACCCTCTCCTGGTCATCAGGGAGACGCCCCAGGGTGACTGTGGTCCACACTCACCTTCCAAATGTCCCCCGAGACTTGCTTAGGTGCACAAGGAGTTCGGCCATTGGTCCTTTAAAAAGAGAGTGCTATGCGCCTGTAGTGGGGGTAGGGTATGTCTACAGCCCTGCTCCCACTGTGCTCGGGAGCAGGGCTGTAGACATGGAGCTGGCCTAGAGAGAGGACCTTCTCCCCCTGGTCTGCCTGTCCCCCCTAGACTCCACCCACTGTGACCGAAACACTCAGCACGTGGGCATCCTCCTGCGTTCTCCAGACATGCACCAGCTGCTGTCTGTCTGTCCATCTGCCTGTCCATCCATCTGTCCATTCATAAATCACATCTACCCGTTGTCTGTCCATACCTTCATCTGTCTGTCCATCTGCTCTTTCCCTCTTGACCACAAGTTTCGAGGAAGAGAAGAATAGAGAGAAGGGGTGAGAGGCTCATGCGCAGTGCGGCGAGGAGGCCCTTCACCTGCAGCTTCAGCACGAGCTCAGTCTAGGTGCATGTGTGGGATGTGGCCGTGAGTCTCAGCGGACATGACGAGAAGTCAGGAAACCTGTGGGTCAGTGGGCTGCCAGTGGGCCGGGTGCTGCACTCGAAACTCGGGAGAGGAGGGGGCGAGCCAGGGATGATCGTGCAGATGGTGAGGACGTGGACGTGGAAATCCATGGGCAGGACACGCCGACGGAGGGAAGGGTGAGGATGGGCAGAGCTTCCACGGGTGGGTCCGGTCCTGCCCTGGCCTTGAGCGCTGGCCGCATCCCCTCCCAGACCCCTGCACGCTGCCTGTGTGGCGCTGAGGATGGCTCCGCGTTGTTAGGTACTTGAGGAAGAGGGAAAGAAGACGACGCTGTGACGTGCGGATGACGTGAGAGTCTGTCTCAGTATCCACCTCACCCCTGCCCTCCCTCAGTGCCAGCTGAGCGGCTGTGCAGAGGCCGGGGCTCCTGAGGCCCCTGGGCTGGGCCCTGGCACCTGTGTCGCCACCCGGATGGGCTCTCTTCAGGACCCCCCTTTGTCATCCCCACCTTCTCAGCTCTCCTGACCTCAGAACTTTATGATTATCTTTGAACTTCCTTGTCTTTGTCACTGAAACCTGGTGCCCTGTGAGTGCGCCCTTCCTGCCGGCCTTCTCCCTGTCCCTGGTCCTGGTCTCATCTAACTGCCTCTGGCAGCCTCTCCCGCACTGCGCTCCCTCCTGTCCCGGCCCCATTAGTCCTCTGTGGCTGGGCCTTCCCACCCCGCACACCCTTGCCTCCTGCCAGCCTCTCCCTGGAAGGTGCCTCCTGTTTACCTGACCAGGTGCTCATCCACAGCTGACACCTGCTCTCAGTGTGCCCTTGTCAGGCTCTGACAGACCCCAGCCTGCATCCGCAGCCCTCCTGGAGGCGGGGCACACCGTGCCCCATACAGCGCCTGGTCGCCTCCTCATGGGCAGCAGCAGGCCGGCAGGCAGAAGGTAGCTGTGCAGGAGCACAGAGAGGAAGCTGAGAACCTGCCCTCATGGATAGGGAGCCCTTTGCGTGGATAGCTTGGGCGCAGAGATGCCCTGACAGGAGGTCTCGGGGAAACGCCTTTTCCATTTAGGGTGATGCGTCCGTCCTGGGCTCACCTGTGAGGGCACAGATGGGAGCCTGCATGCGGACGGGCAGTGCGTGAAGCCGGGCAGCAGGGCCTGAGGGCTGTGGTCCTGCCTGTGGGTGCACCCTTGAGGCACATCAAGGACTGAGTCCCTTTTGGTCTGGTTTTCATGGAGATCCACAATGTGAGCACACAGGCATTCACTCCCTGCCTGAAAACGTGGACACGTGAGAAAGTGGACGTGTCTCGGAGAACAGAACACGCTCAGTGAAACTCATCCGAGTGGAGCAGGTAGTGAGAGTCCTGGTGGGAGGTGCTATGCTTCGCTTTGTTTTATTGATCGTATTTATTTAGTAGAAATTCCATGCTTGTCCTCCTCCTGCGAGAGTGGGCCAGCTGTCTGTGGGGTTGTTCCTCAGTGTGGTGTAGGACCCGGCGCATTGTGGACGTGGTGGCACAAAGGCACGGCCCTGTCTGCAATCCCAGGGACACGCTGCCCTGGAAGGACATGAACAAGTTCCTGTCCGCTGACCAACTGGAAACCCATGTGATTGAAAATAGCTTTGTTTGCCAGAAGAAAAACCCAGTCGTTTTATTGTGATTCAGGTGCTCCCATCTGACAAGGTGGGGCTCCCTGGGTGCAAAAGAATGGCCTGGGCCAGGCGCACCCCCGTCTCTGCAGTGCCCTGGGGTCAGCACAGTGTGGTTGCAGGTGACTGGCTAGGGCTTTGTAAATGCACAGGTAATTATTAGAACCCACGGCCTGCATCACCTGGAAGATTTGTAGTATAGAAACTCCTATTTTCATTTGGAACAAAACAAAACAGAAAGGTCTAGGACACTTGGTGGAAGGACACGTCAGCTGTCCTGGTCGCTTACCCTGCAGCGTCTACGCTCGCTACGTCCAAGCCCCGCCCCCGGGCACAGTCCAGAGTCGTCTGAATTGAAGCGTTCGCGGAAGGAGACACCCTGTACCAAGTTGGCTGCGATTAGTGGCATAGACACAGGTTGTCCTGCCTACTTTTGGAAATTGGATACTGCTCATTTTTAAACAAAACCGCCATTTTTCTTATTTATTTTGACCACACTTTTTCCTGAGCCAGTGACCAGCCCTCATTAGGGGAAAAAATCCCTTATAAGTATTATTTTACTTCTCCCAGAATGTTTTTGTTTGTTTTCCTAAAAATGTGTGATTGATGTAAAACCACAAACTTGTGTTCCTACCAGAGTGTCTTGGCTGTGAGCTGGCACTGCTGTCTCCGGGTGCTTTATGGCAGGTCTCTGGGCGGCCTCCCGAGGGTGGCCTCTGTGGGATCTCTCTGGATGGCTCCCTCAGCCCTGGCCCTCTGGGCTCGGACCCGAGCCCCGCTGCTCCCGGTGCCCCGGAGCTGAGAGGAGGCGCGTTCGCAGGGGAGGCCTCATGGTCTGGCACCCCAGGAGCCAGGGTCTGGTGCTCATGGCTGACCTGGTCAGGTGGGCAGAATAGAAGTCACTTGCCTGCAAGCTGCTCATGCTCGGTAGGCAGGAGTGTGGAACTGACCCCTGGTCCACGCAAGGGAACCTGGTTCTGACGGCCGCCAGCTTGTGCAGTGGCTTTGTGGCTTTGTCAGGGGCTGCGACAAGGTCGAGTGGCTGGCCGCATCCCTGCATGGCCGGGTGGGAACAGTGAGCCTTGTCCACAGTGTCAGGAAGACCCCAGCTTCAGTGCACAGTCGGAAGTTTCCCCTGAGGAAAGCTCGGTTCCTTTTGTTTGTATCTGAAAAGAGGCTTTGGTGTCGGCTTGGTGGGGGCTGCTCTGTTTGTCCAGTTGTGTTTGGGGAAAGCACTGTGCAGCTCGTTCTCCGGGAGTACTCGAGGTGCAGCCCCACAGTGACAATTTGGGGACAACTGTGAGAATGGTCAGGCCACGGCTCCCTCCCTGCTGTCAGCGGGAATGCAGACGGGTTGCCCTTTGGGCCTGGCGCCTTAGCACAGCAGAACCCTGTGTGAGCACCCCCATCACATGTCCTGCTGCACCTGGTGCCCACACAGGGGAGCCTGGGACTCTGTGGAAAGCAGGTTCAAGAGACGCGTGTACTCCATAACAGGGGGGCTCTCTGGGGGAGGGTCGGGACACTATGAGGGAGGTGTGTTCTGGGGTCTGACGCCAAGTCCAGGTTCACCTTTGAGGAGCCCTCCCTGCCAGGCCCCAGGGTGAGAAATCTGACCCTGTGACTTCAGTGAGCCTGGCACTGATAATGGGCCACCCTCATAGACCACGCATCAGACGCTCCCACCACACCCTGAAGGAGGTGCAAGCAGCTCTAAGGGCCGTCCTTGTCCCCAAGGGCCTGTCTGGCTGGGAGGGAGGTGGCTGCGGAGAGAGGTCCTGAGTGAGGCTCTGTGCCAGAGACGGGAGGCCGTCTGTGTGCAGAGGGTGTGTCTGTGCATCCCTGCACGGCCATGCGGTTGTGTGCATGTTTGTCTCAGGCGCACCCACATACCCCGTCCACAGGATGCGAGTCTCCCCTCAGCCGCCACCCTTCCACCTACGTGGCTCTTTGTTAGGATCAAAGGACGAGGCTTTCCCTGAGGAAAGGGGTGTCCCAGTCCATTGTCTGGTCTGCACACCCAGCCCGAACGCCACTTCTCAAAGCACAGGTCCCCGTAGGCCTGACAGGTGGCCCAGGCACAGGACAGGGAGCCCCATTGGCCACCACAGCCCTCCTGGTGGGAGGGCCCTTGCAGGGATGCTGCCTCCTGGGCCTCAGCCAGGCTGGGCTGCCCAGGCCCTGCCAATGTCTGGTGAGGCCCGAGCAGGCGGGGGGTGCCTCGGGAGGCTCGGCTGTGTGCTGCCCAGCCCTGCTCACTCGCCACGTGCTCAGTGCCCCGGGAGGCAGCCGGGGGCTTTCTCCTTGGCAGTCCGCAGGCGGCCCACGCCCTCCGTGCAATGTGTGTCTACGCGCAGGGCTGGCGGGAGGTGCGGGTGGCAGGGCGCCGTGGCCCGGCGGGTACCCGAGTCACCCTGCCCGTGTCTCCCCAGCGAAGCGGCACTGCAAGGACGCCAGCCCCAGCAGCAGCACCGCCAGCAGCTATGCGCCCAGCAGCAGCAGCGGCCTGAGCTGTGGAGGCGGCAGCAGCGCCAGCAGCACCTGCAGCTTCGACTACACGCAAGACGTGGAGGCTGCCCACATGGCGGCCACCGCCATCCTCAACCTGTCCACGCGCTGCCGCGAGATGCCGCAGAGCCTGCCCGCCAAGCCACAGGATCTGTGCGTGGCACGGGTACGCCACCTGGGGGCACGGGGGAGGTGGGCCCTCTTGCTGAGCATCCTCTCTCGATGAGCAGCCCTGCCCTGTGGAGCAGGGCTTGATGGTTGGGACGTGGCCCAGCCTCTGAGGCTGCTCCGTGTCAACGATGTAGATCCACTTGAGATCCACCCATTCTGTGAACAAAAGGCACAGGGGACCTAAAGCAGCTCGTGCCTCGAACTTTCAGTTCAAGGTTGTCAGATAAGGGGCGAGACGGTCCTTACCCTGCTCCCAACAGGCCACCCAGAACTGGGGAGCAAGGAAGTGCCAGTCCGATTCCACAGGGACCAGTCGTGCAGCTCAGAAAGCCCAGGTCTTGTGGCGGTTTTGTAATTCTGGTTTTCTTGTCCACGACTCGCTGCTTGTGCCAGATCAGGAGAGCCAGTGAGGTGGCAGCAGGGCTGCCGGCAAGGCCCCAGGTGTCTCGGGCACGCATGCAGGCAGACACGTGTCCACTCCTCTCCAGGGACAAAGGTGTTTGTCCGTTTTCTACCGCTTCTGGGCCTGCCCCTGCCTCACACCTGACCGCAGTTGTTATAGAGGAGAGTGATGTGTATGAAGGGAGAGAGGTCAGTAATTTCATGTTCTGCAAATGCATTTTTCTATTAAGATTTTGGGGAGGGATCAGGGCATGCCATTTCCATGGTGACCAGGCTGCTAAATGCGAGGCTGCCACGGAACAAAGGGAAGAGCATGACCCCTTCCAGTGTTTTCCACTTTATTAAAATTAAACTCAGACTGAGAGAATTAGTCCAACATTATGAAGGCTGAATTAGTCTGGGAGCTTGAAATCAGGAGCACACCTTGACAGAAATTGTTGAGGCAGAATAATACTCTATAATTCATCAAGGTAACAGCCCGGAGGATGGGGTTTTATTCTGAGCGCCTTCCCTCTGCTGTTTCATCCGTGGAGAGAGCGGCCGACATCTGAGCAGGCAGCAGGCTGCACCGGCTCTGTGCACACCCCGTGCAGCGCTCAGGGCGGGGGCGCTTCCTCCCCGCCTCCTCTTGGGCTTTCCTTCTCCCCTCCTCCTCGAGGCCAGTCTGAAGAATTCTTGATCTGTTTCAAAGCATCTTAAAAAAAGGAACTCACCCTGGACCTCTTTGTTTCTTTAAGCCAGTCGACTGCATTGCAGGCTTGCTGAACTCAGAGTAGGTCAGACTGTAGTCGCAACCGCAGGTCAGACGTAGTCACAGCCGCAAAGGTCTTTGAACCGTGACCACACGGCCTCCTTTCTTAAAACGAGAAATGCTCCTCGTCGTGGGATTTTGGGTTAGAAAGCACATTTTCGATCCTTCTCCCTCCACCCTCTGATTCTTTTGTTTCCTCCCTCTCCAAGTCTTGACCGATTTAGCATCAAAGAACCCAAAGGAGAATTCTTAAGTATGTATTCACTTTAAGAATGTATAATTTTAAGGAGAAAGACATGTTCCGTACACACACACATTATAATTCTTATCTCTTAGTGGGTATTTGAAGTGGAACAGAATCAAAATCAGGCATGTGTCTGGTGTTTCTGGCAGGCTGTTCCCAGAAGCAGAGATGCACTGGGGATGTGGAGGGAGATGTGGATGGAAATAGACACGGTGGGCAGAGAGGCAGGGCAGGTAGGTGAGTGGTAGATGCATAGACAGTAGGCAGGCAGGCAGGTAGGTAGACAGAGGACGGCTAGGTGGATGGGTACGTGATAGATCAACAGAGAGATGGGTGCAGGCGTGTGTGGCCCAGTGCAGCCTGGGGCAGCAGAAGTGGATGAAGGACGGCCTTCTGCCCACTCACGGGGGATCTATGTAAATGAGACTGGGTGGCTGGAGGCGAGTAGGGTCTGGGGATGGGACCGCGTGGCTATCTGTCTTTCTGCTGCAGAACCCTGACATGGAGGTGGACGAGAATGGCACTCTGGACCTGAGCATGAACAAGCAGAGGCCGAGGGAGGGCTGCTGCCCCGTCCTGACCCCGCTGGAGCCCATGTCCCCGCAGCAGCAGGCCGTGATGGGCAGCCGGTGCTTCCCGCTGAGCGAGGGCGACTGCTGGGACCTGCCTGTGGACTACACCAAAATGAAGCCCCGCAGGGCGGAGGAGGATGGCCCCAAAGAGATCACTGTGCGTCCTTCTCCGTGAGCCCAGTCTGCCACTCAGGTCGCAGGCGGTGTGGTCAGGGGAGCACGCCTTTCTCTCTAAATAGGGCCTTTGCCTAGTGAGACTAGAACACATTTTTTTGTTGACTCAGAAAGGGTTTGTGACTAACACTGATTTGGTGAAACAAACCATTGACTCTTCTAAATGATTAATTTTGTATTCTAAGTAGCGTGTTTTCCTACAGTTTCACTGAGAAAATGTGTCAGGAGCACACCAGCTCATTTTTGGGGTGACATATTACTGTCAGGCAGGATTTTCCTTGCTGTTAGAGAATCAGAATGAGGCTTAAATCTGTCAATGGCACGGCTGTGTGCGTGGCCCTTGCCCTGAGGCGGTGCTGTCGCAGACCCTGAGACACTCGGAGTGCACTCCAGCCTCGCTTACGCCGCTGCACAGGCGCCGGGATCTTTCTCTGTCACAGTGTCACCAAAACACGTATGTCCAGAACATGTTTTTAAAGTAGTTACAATGTTCAAATTTAGGTTATTGAAGTAGTTATAATACCCTTTTGGCTAAGGAGAGAAACAAAAGAAAGCTTATTTCTTATTGGGCTGACTTTTTCTCCAGTGTTCAGTCCTAAAAATTGTATCATCTCTATTCACTGAGAAAGTGGAAACCCCCCTCTTTGACTGCAATGGGGAGACCCCGTCAAAGCAGCGGCGTCTCATAGGAACAGAGGTGGGGAAGGAGACATTAGCTGTTTGCAGGGCTGGGCGGAAAGGCGACCCTTTCGTGGGACTTTCCAACTCACAGCCTATTGTCTCTGTTCTTCCAATGGGCTGAAAACTAGCGGCAGACAGCGGCCGAATCCCAGACTGCTTTTCTCTGCGACTATGAAACCGTCAGGCCCACATAAGGCATGGTGGCTGAGTCCCTGAGTTTATGTTAATTAATACTAAGCCCTCGTAAATCGACAGCAGTGTCTGCGTCCTGCGGGCTGTCACGGGAGTGAAAAATGACTCCTGTTCCCAGGACACGCTTGCTCAACATTGCCATCTGTAGGAGTTTCTAGGTCGCCGCAGTTAGACCCACTTGCTGTAAAAAAGAAAATGCTGCAAAGGAGGGATGTACAAAGGTGACATCTGAGGTAGTGTCCCCTGCCATGGGCCTGCAGGACCCGGGTAGTGACCAGCAGTGATCCCTAAAGCTGTGTGGGGCCACGTTAGGACGAAGGCCTGGAGGGTGCGCCCACCAGTGGAGGCGGGACGCAGTTCAGAAAGGCCAGCACCATGGTCATCCCTGTGGCCAGACCACTTCCGCCCTCCCGTGGGCCTGGCTGACGGAATGGGGAAGGACGCCTGCCAGTGCCCAGTCCCCCTAACTCTAGGAGTTCAGAGAGTTGGTGAGACCCTAGGCCCAGCACAGAGGAGGGATGCTCCGGGCAGACGCGTTCCAGTTCGCACTTTCTAGGGGCCTAGTCAGGACAGAGGAGGGATGCTCCGGGCAGACGCGTTCCAGTTCGCACTTTCTAGGGGCCTAGTCAGGACAGAGGAGGGATGCTCCGGGCAGACGCGTTTCAGTTCACACTTTCTAGGGGCCTAGTCAGGACAGAGGAGGGATGCTCCGGGCAGACGCGTTCCAGTTCACACTTTCTAGGGGCCTAGTCAGGACAGAGGAGGGATGCTCCGGGCAGACGCGTTTCAGTTCACACTTTCTAGGGGCCTAGTCAGGACAGAGGAGGGATGCTCCGGGCAGACGCGTTCCAGTTCGCACTTTCTAGGGGCCTAGTCAGGACAGAGGAGGGATGCTCCGGGCAGACGCGTTTCAGTTCACACTTTCTAGGGGCCTAGTCAGGACAGAGGAGGGATGCTCCGGGCAGACACGTTCCAGTTCACACTTTCTAGGGGCCTAGTCAGGACAGAGGAGGGATGCTCCGGGCAGACACGTTCCAGTTCACACTTTCTAGGGGCCTAGTCAGGACAGAGGAGGGATGCTCCGGGCAGACGCGTTCCAGTTCACACTTTCTAGGGGCCTAGTCAGGACAGAGGAGGGATGCTCCGGGCAGACGCGTTTCAGTTCACACTTTCTAGGGGCCTAGTCAGGACAGAGGAGGGATGCTCCGGGCAGACGCGTTCCAGTTCGCACTTTCTAGGGGCCTAGTCAGGACAGAGGAGGGATGCTCCGGGCAGACACGTTCCAGTTCGCACTTTCTAAAGGGGCCTAGTCAGGACAGAGGAGGGATGCTCCGGGCAGACACGTTTCAGTTCACACTTTCTAGGGGCCTAGTCAGGACAGAGGAGGGATGCTCCGGGCAGACACGTTCCAGTTCACACTTTCTAGGGGCCTAGTCAGGACAGAGGAGGGATGCTCCGGGCAGACGCGTTTCAGTTCGCACTTTCTAGGGGCCTAGTCAGGACAGAGGAGGGATGCTCCGGGCAGACACGTTCCAGTTCACACTTTCTAGGGGCCTAGTCAGGACAGAGGAGGGATGCTCCGGGCAGACACGTTCCAGTTCGCACTTTCTAAAGGGGCCTAGTCAGGACAGAGGAGGGATGCTCCGGGCAGACACGTTTCAGTTCACACTTTCTAAGGGGCCTAGTCAGGACAGAGGAGGGATGCTCCGGGCAGACGCGTTCCAGTTCACACTTTCTAGGGGCCTAGTCAGGACAGAGGCATCGCGACCTCAAAGGGAGAGTTGGGAAAGGAGAGCAGCCGCCCTGGCTGGGGATGGCGGTTGGTCTGTGTGTTGATAGTCGTCTGTGTGGCCCTGAAGCTGTGTTTCCCCTGCAGCCAGAAGACTTGGATCCCTTCCAGGACGCTCTGGAAGAAAGGAGGTACCCAGGGGAGGTGACCATCCCAAGCCCCAAGCCCAAGTACCCCCAGTGCAAGGAGAGCAAAAAGGACCTGATAACGTAAGCATGACGTGAGGTGCACCATGGCTCTGAACTCTCCCTCCCTCTCTCTGGCTGACTCTGAAACCAACCTTTATCTGCCTTGCTTTCTGAGCATGTGACATTCGCAGCGTAGAGATGTCTCGAGCTGCCGGGTCAGCAGAGTACACACCCCGTGGCCTCGCGTGTGCTCCGACACGCTGCGCCGCGGAGACGCCATCCTCATCCAACCCGCGCATCCCGCAGCTTCTCCAGGGCGCTAACCCCTTGCAGACATTGCAGCTAAACTGGAAACAATGAAACTTTTTACAAGTTTTTTAAACATACTCACTACTTTGGCTGTTTTTGTTTCTGTTTGGTGGCAGATGTCCAACACCCAGGTGTGATGGGAGTGGCCATGTGACTGGTAATTACGCCTCACATAGAAGGTGTGACTTCACTTCTCATGGTGGATCCTGTCTTTCGGTTTCTTGTTTTCAGCTTACCTCAACAATGCTGTCAGAGTGAGACGTCGGACTGTGTGTGCCCAAGTGCTCTATGCTGACCTGCGAGCGTGCACGGGCACGCTGTGGGCTGGTTTGTCGGGGATTGGCCACCTAGATTGGGGCAGTTCTTTATAAACATTTAAGCCAGAGAGCACAAATATTTTTATCTTTTTAAAAATAGTGTAACAGACCTGTTTCCTACGTTTGCATGTGAGCATTTGCAATTGATTCCCAAGTTCAACATACAGCACTTGCCCCATCGCTTTTCTGCATCAAACTTTAATTTCAGTTCTGTGTTGTGTTTGTTCGGAGCGTCAGCCGCTTAGAGGGGGACTCACGGACTCTTCTGGCCTGTCTTACAGTCTGTCGGGCTGCCCGCTGGCTGACAAAAGCATCCGAAGTATGCTGGCCACCAGCTCCCAAGAACTCAAGTAAGATTTAACAAAAATCATTCTCCTTTAAAAATCTGTTTGCTTAGTAGTGACAAAAAGGATGTGCCATTTGAAAGAAAAGTGTCTTTACAAACCCACCTGTGCACAGCAGTGTGTGATCAGGTCCTCAGCACTGTGGTCGCTTTTCTGGGTGATCCGTCCTGCCTTCTCCCCTCTCGTCTGTCTCTAGTTCTTCCCTGTCCTATCCTTTCTCTCCTGAATTCTCCAAAGCCTAGTGTGTTTTCTCCAATACACATGCCCGTGGAAGGAGGGTTTACAGAGTTGCTCAAAGGTCTAAGAAAAGACTGCAACTTAAAAAAGTAAAAAGTTGATATTTTGAGAGTCAGTAGTTAACGTGATGATTTGACATACGGCTGTGTCGCTAGCACTGTGACAGAAAGCTACCAGGACGACAGCGCCTTCCTCGGGTGCCCAGTGGCCATGGCCGTGGACTCAGCTCATGGATCTGTGCAGCCAGGCGTTCCCATGCACACCCCGCCCCGCCTGCTGGGTCCTCCTGTCCTCCTGTCTGCAGCTCCCTGTAGTTTACGCATAAGTCTGGTTCCTGCTTTTTCACCTCCAGCCAAGGGCTTCCCTGGACTACACACGTGTGAGGCGCTGCATGCAGCTCCAAGGCGGGTCTGGAGACGGCGGTGCAGCTGTGGTGGGAGTGGGCGTGCGGGTGAAGGCGCGGGGGACGAGTGTTCCACGGTGATGAGGACCAAGGGCCCCTGTGATTGCTACGTATCTCATGTCACAGGCTTGGCTTCCGCTTGTTTGGAGATGGCTTCATTTCCCATGTAGAGGAGATGCTGTTTGCAGCCTCATGGGACACCTTCCCCGAGGACCCTACCCCGGCCCTAGGCCAGTGCAGCGACAGGGATCGGAGTGCGGCGTCCTGTTTCACACTGTGTCGTCTTTTACAGGATCCCTGTCCAGGGCCCTGGTGCCATAGAGCACTTGCTCATGCTCAGTGACCTCCTGAACTAGCTCTCCCATCGTCAGGCTATTGCGTCTTCTTCGTGGCGAGCCAGCCCCTGGAGCGCACCCTCTTCCTTAGCAGCTCTCAGCCCAGCATCGTCCACGCAGTGCCCAGCGGACAGCTAGCTCTAGACCGTCGGGCTGGGCAGAGTTAGCAGGAGCATGACTCGCCCGCTGGGCTCCGGCCTCTTTTCTCACGGCTTCACACCGTACTTCCTCCTGGTCAGAACGCGGGCACTGCGCTCGGGCCTTGGCCGCACCTCAGCACACGGCAGCGTTCCTTGACTTTGTAAGTTTGGCCTGTCTCCAGTTCCAGCAGGCAGCTGTAACCAGAACGGCCTTCACACACCTGCAGGTAGTGTCGTATCTAGTGGTCTGTGTCCCAGGACCCTGGAGGCCAGAGTAGTTTTCTGACAGGTCTGGTGGGCCTTGGTGTGCATCCCTTGACTTTGGGCTTAGAAGTCTCTGTGGCTCTGGAGTTTCGAGCAGACCTGTCTTGTCCTCCTGTCTCGTCCTGGGGTCCTCGCCATCAGCATCTTCAGAGGGAGGCCGTCTGCCCTTCCCTCGTTCATCTGCCTCTTCCCGGAGGGACCTTACCATCCAGAGGGTGAGGCCCTTTCCTACTCTTGACTGATGTGGACGCTACACCCCCTTCTGCCCTTGTCTTTGTAGCAAGTACATCTCGTTTTGATGAACCCTTTCTTAGAACTCTCAACTTGTCCAATTTTCTGAAATGGTTTGTGATTATTATTGGATCTTCAAAGTAGGGATTTCAATTAAATGTACACAATAAAAGTCTAATACTTAAATGCACAGTTCTGACTTGATGTCTTTTCAAACTGGGGACCATAGACAATATTCTCCTTCCATCTTCTAGCTGATGACACCGCCGTCCGTCACGCTCTCATCTGAGTGCAGGTGCGTGGGCCCAGCCCTTGCAGATCCACACAGCTTTCTCTAGATAGGTCATGAGTGGGATCCCATCAGTAGCTTCCTCTTTATATGTATTTTCAAAGCTTCGATGACCCCGTGGCAGCTCTCCCTGGCGAAGAAAGGTCCTGCTGCGAGGTGGGGGGCCCCCACTTCTTCAAAAGGACATGTGGAGTGGGTCCCCGTTCCCTCAGAGGAGCTCTCCGTCACGCATCTGCTGAGGAGTGGAGTTTCCTGGAAGCACCCTCTGGTCACTTCTGACACTGGCTTTGAACCAGCTGGCCGTCAGCAGGACATTCTTGGTCATGGACCGACAACAGGTTTTTCAGGTAGACTTCACATCCTGGACCTCAAACCTCCTAAACGCCCTGAGAGGACACTTAGCTCGGTTCTCACCCGAGCCACACTCGGAATATTCTGAGTAAGACTCCAGCAGTGTCCCATCTCGCTATGCACAGCTCGTCACCTGAGTGTGCCCTAGGGCCTGATGTGCACCTGAGTGTCGTTCCATCTGCGGCTGCTCCCTCCGGCTCCTGGTGTCCGGTGGAGAGGGCCCTGTCCAGCGGCTCAGGGAGGTGGGACGCAGCCCAGGGAAATGGCACTTGCGGGAGGCAGGGCCAGGACGTCAGGAAGCCCGAGGCTCGCGCAGACCCTGTCCCCTCCCGCATGGCATGCTGCAAGGCCCACCGAGACCCCAGGCCCAGAGAGAATGAAGTGGTTCAAGGTAAACTGATTTTTGGCGTGTGAAAATGCTGCTTAACGTGAGCTCTGATTCTGCAGGAAAGTGTCTTCTCCTAAAGTGTCACCTGCTCAGGTCACCCGAGGGCCGTGCTGGGAAAGAACTTGAGTCACATGACGTCCCTGTCCGTCGTTTTCAGAGACCACACCCTGCCCGCCAAGGGCTTCCTCCTTCTTCCAGATGCAGCCGAGTGGCACTTCTGGCCAGTGCAAGCCAGATCCACACTGATTTCTGTCAGGTGCAGCTGGCCGTAAGAAGGGTCCTCCAGACTGGGTCCGTGTGTGCTTGCTCAGCCCAGTTTCAGGCACCTGCCCGTGATCCTTGCCTTAGTGCGCAGCATCCAGCCCCGTGACGTGTGGGCTCCTCACGGGGGAAGTTCAGACCACTGGCCGGTTGTCACCTCCTAGTGTTTGAACTTGGATTGAGTCGCTGTGGGTGGGGTGAGTGGGGCGGGGGACTGCTTTGGGCTGTCTGCCCTTTGGGAAGCTCTCTCGTGTGTTCTGTACTTGATGGGCATCTGTCCTCAGTGATTTTAGCTTAGACATAGAGAAATCTTAACTGCATATCCACAGACCTCTTTTTAAAACCTAGTTACATCTATTTTAAAATCAACTTAAATCACGGAAATAGGATTTTGAACTTGGGCCCAGATATACCTTCTCTCTGGAGGCTTCGCATCCCTGAGATTCACGGGCCGGCTTCCACTGCAGCGGCCAGGCCAGGCCGCAGGGGGTCACCACAGGATGCGGGCTCTTCTGGGCCAGCAGCTCCTGGTGCTGGTGCAGGGTCCTGCCCACCGCTGCCATCATGGGCTCTCTGACACCTCGCTCACGTCCTCTTCTGCCTCACCATTGATGAGCAAATCCACAGAACTCTGCGAAGGCCAACTGCCTCCGACTCCATCCAGTTCCTCTTAGAGGATGTTTCCTTATCGGAGGTGTGTGGACCTCTGTGCGCTTAGCTCCTTGACGGCGGAGGCTGCTGCCTGGCCTCCATGTTGTGGGCGGTGACACTTGCTCCTCCACTTCGAAGAGGCCCCCTGGGCCCCTCGCCTCAGCTGGAAAAGCACTTGTTCCGGAGAGGCAGCCTGGGAACCCAGGGTCCATGTGGGGCTGTCTGCGGGCGTGTCTGGGTGAGAAGTGGATGCCAGCCGTGGGCTCAGGCTGCTGAGTTAGCGGCGCCTGGGAGCCTTCCCCAGATCCACACGGCACCTCTGGTCTGAAATAGGTCCCGCTTACCAGGTGCCTCTGCGAGAGCCGCTAGGAAAGCCCAGACCCATTTCACAGATGCGGGAACTGGCTCAGTCAAGACCCACAGACCAGTGGCAGCAACAACTTATCTACACGTCATGTTGCATCTTCAAAATTATAACATGAGGCGTGCTGTTTGGTGGTGGAAATGGAAGGTCTACCTTTACCGGTGGCTCTAACCACATGCACGCACACATGCACACACAGCACACATGCACACACAGCACACATGCACACACAGCATGCACGCACACAGCACACATGCACACACAGCACACATGCACACACAGCACACATGCATACATGCACACACAGCATGCACACACAGCACACATGCACACACATGCACACACATGCACACACAGCACACATGCACACACAGCACACATGCATACATGCACACAGCATGCACACACACTGCACACATGCACACATGCACACACACATGCACACACAGCACACATGCACACACAGCACACATGCACGCACACATGCACACACAGCATGCACGCACACAGCACACATGCACGCATGCACGCACACATGCACACACAGCACACATGCACACACAGCATGCACGCACACAGCATGCACGCACACAGCACACACGCACACATGCACACACAGCATACATGCACACACACATAGCACACACAGCATGCACACAGCACACATGCACACGGCACACATGCATACAAACACACAGCACACATAGCACATGCACGCACAGCACATGCACACACATGCACGTGTACAGCACATGCACATACATGTGCAAGCAGATAACAGCAGGGCTATGCCAAGATGTTGGGTCACCGGGTCTCTTGTGAAGGGGGGTAACAAGGAGAGTGGCTCTCTCTCTGGAGCCTGACACTGCGTGGTCAGCTCCTGTGCCCCGCCCTGCTGCAGGGCCCCAAGTGGGCAGTGAGGAGTGCCCAGCGACAGCTGGCCAGGGTATTTGCTGTTTTAACCAGATCCTGGCTGAGAGTCTCCCTCCCTCTCTCCTCCTCACAGTTGAGTGAGAGTCTCCCCTCCCCCCACCCAACTGAATTGTTTTCACATTCGAACCAACCAAACACAGGCCAACAGCAAACCCCAGA